GTCTTATTTGAATTTGAAAAGTGAGGTAATTTATCTTCTGTGCCAGTGAAGTAAAACTTCTGTTTCAACTTTTGTTCCACCCTTACCTACTTGTGTATGACAGTATGACACAAGTATGAAAGAATGGAGCATGCATTAGGATGTCACAATGCACATTTTGTCATTTTTGTGTCGTCATGGTTAGGAAGATACACCTATGTTGCTCACATGCAATTTAACAGTCTTTAAGAAAATTCAGAAGTTTCAAAGTACTTTGAGTATGAATACAGGAATATTAAATATATTTTTATTCAGTAACTGTATAATTCCTAGTTAAGAATACTTATTTGATTTTGAATATAACAATTAGTCCTATACATGTCTACATGTATAGGTGGGAACTTTATAGCCTTGTAGGCTTAGCTGATTAATTCCAAACTTTGTGTGATCTATGACTGTACTAAAATCTCCAACTAACCTTCACTGTCCTTCATATTTTAAAGGTAAATGTGTCTTTAAAAAGAAGAATGGGGTAATTTGTCTAATACTGACCAATATTGAAGGGTTTTTTTTTTTTTTGTGCTGCCTGAATTGATAATAATTTGTAATAGGGTACAATTTTCATCAGTTCATCAGTTCAAGGCCGCACCAGACTGTATTGCATGTCAAGGGCTATGTTTCAGAATTGGGTGAGGCCAGGACCCAAATGTGCTTAATCTTTTTGTGTTGGGGATTTTAAGTGCCTTCAACCTTTGCAAGAATTTAATTTTTTGAACCCACCCTTTCTGGGGAACCCAAAGGTTACTGGTGAGCCACATGCAGCCTATGGACTGCATTGTTTACTCTCTGTCATATGATCTACTACAAGTCTTTCCCAACTTGGTGTCACTTGTAGGTGTCTAACTATAACCTCAATAGTCCCCAGCCAACTTGACTATTGGTAATGCTAGCTGGGGAGTAAGGGTGTTGTAAGTGTGGTCTGCAGACTGGTGCTGATCCGTGAACTGTTTGTTACCGGCCTGAGACAAGATAAGTACATAATTCAATATTACAGAATTATGATAGGAATAGTGATTCTCTATATTAGTCACCTCTATGCACACTTTCAATGAACAAGAAGTGCAGATTTTGTAATTCTTTTTTCCTATGTAATGTTTGTTCTGATTACATTTTTGATTGATTGATTATGTGCCATCAAGTTGTTTTCGACTCCTAGCGACCACATAGATTTCCTCCATGATGATATATCATAACCTGGACTTTCAAGTCCTCCAATGGCGCACTCATTGCCACTGTTACTGAGTCCATTCACCTTGCTGCTGGTTGTCCTCTTCTCTTTCTTTCCAGTTTTCCCAGCATTAGGACCTTTTCCAGAGAGCTAGGTATTCATATAATGTGTCTGAAGTAGAATAAATCTTGCAGTTCTCTTGGCAAGATTTCAGAAGTGGTTTGTCATTGCCTGGTTTCTAGGGCTGAGAGAGAGTGACAGGCCCAAGGTCACCCAGCTTGGTTTGTGCCTAAGGCGAGACTAGAACTCACCCTCTCTCAGTTTCTAGCCTGATCCCTTAGCCACTACACCAAACTGGCTCTTAATAACTGGAGGAACAAATAAAAGCATTTCTGTGGTTGGTTCTTGCATCACTGCCCAACCGAAAAGGAGATGTGGATAATGTTTTCCAAAAGCAAATTTCAGATCTTCTAGAATCATGAAGTAGTCATTTTTGGAAAACACTAATTATCCTGATATCTGTAGGGAGACAATGTCTGCTAGGCATGGTTCTTCCAGAAAATTTCTGACATACTTTGCTGACAATTTTCCCCTTTAGAGGGAGGAAAGGCACCAGATGATTAGCTACGACTTTATATTAACAATGGGAAACAGCTGAGGGACTCAAAACAACAGTAACTTTGAGGAAAAGTGATAATGTAATGCTGAAATTCCTGATTTTAAGGAAACTAAAGCTGTGTAATGAAACATGTACCTTGGATCTCAAGAAAGGAAATTTTAATAAATTCAAATCAGTGATAGAATTCCATGGCAGGCTAGCCAAGTAAGGAAAAAGATGGGTGAATGTTGCAAAAAAGGAGAGAGTATTGAACTTATATAGAATTCCAAAGGGAGGGGGGAAGGAAGACAGCAGAAGAAGCCAATGTTACACCAGAAAGCGGACCTATTGTGCTAGTGGAAAGAGAGAAAGAATTCCAAGGAATAGTATGAACAAACATCCCAGAGATAGATCTGAGATGATATTATAAGACCTTCAGATATGTTAAAAAAAAAAAAAAAAGGAGGAAAAATAAAATACTAGATTTTAAATAAAGGCAGCAAAATAATAGGCAGAAAAAAAAAAGTCTATTCCTATCACTGCTTAGTATTCTCTGAGAATAGAATATGAGTTCCACCAGGCAATTGTGAAGAACAGTATAAATGTGGAGGAGTCAAGTTTGAGGTTCATACAAATATAATCTGAGAATACTGTTTACTTTGAAT